CCCCCCCCCCCGGTCACCGTAGCGCTGTTTCGCCGATGGGCGCGAATTGTAGATGGGACGAACACCCAAAGGCTGTTGCTGTACAATTTAACACGTGTCCGTTCACGAAATAATGGACCAACAAGTCGTGCCCGTTGTCCTCGGCTTTGGGGTTTGCACATACGGGATGAGAAGCAGTCCAAATGACTCATACCGCACATGTACGCGGCGAGAAAGCTCGTTTCGCACATTACATGCGAAGAATTCAAAAAGGCCGCTGTTGCCGTACAGCCGCTTGCTGGGGCAGCGCGGAAGGTGACTTTGCATCAACCGGATGGCTGACGACAGCGCACAATTCACGCCGATTCTGCCTGCCGCAAAGCCGCTTCGACAGACCGGAGAATGAGTTTGCACCAGCCAGATGACTAAAGCAGACAAGTCACACCAATCATTGACCGCCGCAAAACAACATCACGAACACAATTAGCGCCCGCACTGTCAAGAACTTGGTAGTCAAGGAATCGATATAGCCTAAAAAAAACAGCCAAAATCTAGAGCTTGAGCACCATTTGCAAGCCCGGTTAGGGAACCCCTGCCCTAAAAGCTATGGAGCGACCATTCGTGGCATATCCCTAGGAAATATCGAAGACCAGCTGGGGCTGAAACCAGACTTTCTCAGCAGCGGGCGCTAGCTGTGCGGTGACAGGGGAGACGGCCGTGAGCCTACCTGCATCTCGCGAAGATGTCGGGCAGCAAGAACCTGTAGCCGAGGCACCCTGTGGCCGCGATGGTGGTGGAGGCGGAGGCGAAAAATATGGCGTTGGTGGGCGAATAGTTATTGGACCGTTGACCACCCGTCCTCGAGAGGACGAAGCATTTGGGGGGGGGAATGGGCGCACTCGTGTCTATGTATGCCAGAAAAGACCATGGAACACGCGTCCTCGAGAGGGCGGAGCAGTGTTCCTACAGGACCTATCACCGATGGTCAAATCATTCGTTTCTTCCTACGTCGCCCAAGGTGTGTGTAGGGGGGAGGCAGAAGACAACCGGTGCTAGACATCTTGGCGACACATCAAGTACCGTACGCTCCCCGACAACAAAGGAAACTAATGAGAAGAGACGGATTTACCATAGCGAAAGCGCCTTTGTCCCGCACGTGCAAAACACTTTCACTTGGTATGTAGGCACGATTTAAATACCGCCGCAGGTGCGTTGACCAATCAGCGAATTGCGTTCCACAAATGTTTTTCTCTCTGGGGAAACATTTCTCATTGAAGAGTGCTTTGTGAAACGTCCCAGCCCCCCCTACAATTCCAGTACCCGTCGCAAGGACAAAAACAAGCTTGGTTCTAGTAGGGGTTACGGGTGCGGTTTGGGAGGTACCCCCCCCCTCTCTATTCCATTGTGTGGGGGGCCTTTGGTGCCGTTCGAATAGCGCCGGTGCCTGGTACGGTGCCGTTGTTTCGGCGGGCACAGACGGGACAACCAAGTAATTACCGTGCCTGTCAATGTGCTGGGCACATACCGGTGCTTGAAAGCCTGGAAGTGTTAAACAGGGTCCTCTGCAAACACCTCGCTGTGCCGGTCAAATTTCTGGGCACATACCGGTGCTTGAAAGCCTGGAAGTGTGAAACAGGGACCTCTGCAAATACCTCGCGAAGGCGGTCCCTCAAGCTGGCAACCGCCGCCGCCGCCGCCGTTGCCGCCGCCGCAAGGTTTAAGAAAGAACCGTAATTTGGAGCGTTCCCTTTTTTCATATCCCAGACCTCCCTCAAGCTACTGTACATCCGAAAGACACATTGCACGTGACGTTTGTTTAGAACGGTTGAAGTGGAAGCCTTGCCTAGGAGAGTGCTTGTTTTTGCGTGTTCAAGCCCTCCCTCAATCAAGCTAAGCTGGAAGCCGTCGCCGTATACATACCTTGTCGCAACGGAGGGAACGATGTCCCAGCCCTTCCTCAACTAATATGTACATCCGAAAAACCACAACTATTAAGAACCTGTACGGTTCAAGGGAGCATTTCAGAAGAAAGTGCCCTCTTGCTTGTTCCAGCCCTCCCCCAATCAAGCTAAGCTGGAAGCCGTCGCCGTATACATACCTGGTCGCAACGGAGGGAACGACCACCCACGCCAGACACAGAACGAAGCCGTTCCCGCCCATGCTCTCCAGCAAGAAGAAGAAGAGCTGGAAGTGGAACAGCGGCAGGAGCGAGAAGGCCTGCAAGAAGGGGGGGGGAGGCGACGCGAACGGGAGTGGGGTGGAGTGACGCGGATGCGCATGGGGGGTGGGTTGGGTTGGATAGGAAAAAGCGCCGCCAATGAAGCGTAAGATTTGTCGTTAATTTACCATTCAAAAAGAGTCGTCCGTCACTTTCAGAAGAAAAGGGGACGACGCGACTGGTAGTGGGATGGGGTGGGGGCAACGCGGATGGGGGTAGGGTGGGGTAGGGGGTGGGGCGGGGCGAAAAAGCGCTTGCCGATGATGCTATAGAAATGTTGTCGTTGCCGTTGTTGTCTTCACATCAATAGTCGTTCCGGTCTCTACTTAGTTGCACCTTCTATTGTTATTGCTCCGTACTGGTCCAACTGACTCGCGAATGAACGAAAACAAGCAATTCACGGCAGCAAACGGTGGTAGGGTGCAAGGCGCCCCCAACAAATGAACAGAAGCATGCCTTCCATGGTCAAAAACATGACCGCTTGCCTGGGGTACCAGAAAAGTGTGTGTCGGCACTCCGGAAGGTCTGCCGTAAGAGGCGGAGAGACAGCACCCCCCCTACTGCAGGCCGATTTCCAAAGCTCGATATCCCCACAGGCAATATCGTGCCAACAAAACCAACAAATGTGGTACTGGAAACATCTCGCGGAGCGCTCTCCGTAGCCGAAACGCGCTCTCTCTGTACCAACTTGGTTGTGGAGCAATCGAGCCCTTGGAGAGTCGTTCCAGGGGGGGGTTGCCATCTCTCCGCCTGTTGCGGGATACCACCGTACGGTATACGGGACGGTACAGCTAATCTTGGTTGTGGAGCAATGGAGCTAGGAAAGGCGGTCTACTGTAAACAGAAATATTACCACGTGCTGAGCAATCTGGAAGAACCGTCACAAAGAGCTAGCTCACTTGATACTAACACATCATGTGGGACAACAGTGATTGCTGTTCCCTGGCCTTGCAGTAGACTGAGAGAGTGGGGGCGGACCATCTACTAAAAGCTCCCTCTGAAAGGGGGGCTATGGAAGGTCCTGTCCCCTTCTTTATCCTTACATCAGGAGTAACATACATCTCCCGCACTGTCGTCTCGGTGTTAGCCCGGACCGCCTTCGCGAGATTGATGAGTTTCTGAGGAAACCGAACAGGGAAGGGGGACGCTGACCCTTGTCCCTGTAACGCTAACCTTAACCCAACTTCCCCGATCGTGTTGTACTTCATCCAACATGTTTACTTTGTGGAAGGCTACTGCGAAAGCTACTGATTAGCCCGCACTACGGTTGGTTATTTCCCTGCATTCGAATCCCAATAAAACACTAGACTAGGGGCGGTGTCATCTTTTCGACGGTAGTCCCAGTTCATTCCGGGCAACACAACCCGCCATTTTTCTTCACTTGGTGCCCTTTTGACAAAAAGAAGATAGTCTGCGAGGACAGCAGTAGATGAGAAGTTGCATGGCACATCCCCTTGTTTGGTAAAGTTTCGCTTAACAACCTGGTCTACCGTAAGTTGCATAAGATACCATACCCCCACTGGACCGAATTTCAAGTCTCTATTATTCCACGACGAAGAGGATGCCGAAATCAAACGGTGCATTTTCGGGAAGCTCTCGAACGAGACTATTTCAAAAGTGCCGCCACTTCCGGCACCGCCACCCTCTCTGCTGTCGAGGAATCGAGCGACGAATACCCGGCCAGGGATGTGATATCTTACGTCACCAGGTATGCATAGCAACCGTCGCCTGCCGCCGCCGTGGAATTATCGATTGGGATTCGACAGCACAGCAACAACCACGGACCAGACTTCAAGGTCCATTCACCAGTGGATGCCCATCACTTAGTCTCACGGAGGTATCGTACTGCCAGCTAAGCGTTGCAAGCCTTGGGTCGTCTACCGCTGCTGTGGTTGTATCGCTGTATTTCTGTAAGCAAAGCCATGCTGCTGCGGTGTAGTTGGTCCCTATACGGACAAATGGGTTTAGGGAGCTTACACCAGATTTTGTTGTACAAGTCAAACTGGTAGTCTGGTGTGTTTTTCAAGCAGCACCGACCGCGGGAAGGCACACTAGCGTGCACGGCTTATGATCTCATCATGTGTAGACAATCCTGCCTCCCGCTCTGCTCTCCATCACCGTTCTCCTGATGAGTGCTCACACCCAAAAAAAATCTCACCGCAAACCCCGATAGCGCGTGTCCGGCGCTCTCGACTGCCGCCGAATAGGAAAAAACCCCCGGGCGATCCATCGCCAATGGCTTCGAAGGTGTTCGGCTACCACCACGGATTGACGCTTTCCCCGCGTTATCCTCCAGCAGTGCTGCTACCGGTGCAAAACAAAGATGAGAGTAGTAGTGCAGTCAAAGATTATGCCGTTTGTGTTGCATCCGCAGCAACTGGCAGAGAGGCAGTTGTAGCCGTAACCTCATGCAGCAGACACAGCAGCAGCGGAACAGTACAAACAGCGTGGAAATGCCTTCGCCGGCATCACTACCGAGCTGCTGTGCTGTGCGTGGTGAGCAACCAAGGCCGCTTGCTTGGATGATCAAGCTATTGCATTGCATGATCTCCCATTTTGGTCGAAACCTGATGCAAATCTCCGGAGAAGGGTTGGGGGGGCACGCGAGAGAAGCCGTTGGTGTTTTTCCTCGTGGTGTTTGTTCTCTTGAAGCACAGCAGCAACCACCACGCAGCAAGCGAGGGAACAGGAGCTGACGTAGAGATTGAGCACAAGAGAGCGGTAGAGATTGATAGGTATCACCGCCGCCGGCTCACGGCAACCGTCCGTGCGCCACGGTTTCCGGAAAGAGCCGGAGGAGAAATGAGCACAACAACAGCAGGAGTAGCAGCAGCAACCCCGGCATTCGAAAACCACCCTGATGGGGAGCCACCTGCTGCTGCCGCCGGTGCTCTGACGACAGCGGAGGAGCAGCCAACGTCTGCTGAGACTGAAGGGAGGGGTGCTGGCGGTGGCGGAGAGGACTTCGCGTGGGAGACGTCCAAGGAGAATGTCATGCCCCTGAAGCGAGGCCGCAAGGTGGACGCCATCCACAACGCCTGCGAGAGCGGCGGCGGCGGCGGTGGCGGCGGCGGCTTGGGGTGTTCATCCTCTGCGCGCGTGTTGGCTGACTTGAAAAGGTGCGATGCGCGGAGGAAGTGCCTTCTTAGGATATCATTCCACGAGTGTGCTGGACGGCATCTGAATAATGTTCCGTGCGAGCAGCAGCTAGCTCACATGAGCAGAGGGGAACGCGCTAGATAGTGCCATTGCGGGAAATGATGTGCAAAAATTTCCAACATGTTGTGCTGGTACACAGCATCGCCCAGCAGTACAGCAGATGCTGCTTGAAGATTGAGCATTTGAACCTCTGCTTGTGTGCTGCTTGTGGGTGCGCATGCCATGTACTGTCAGGAGTTTTGGGCGGCACTAGGTATCGGGTAGCACGTGCTGATTATCCACCGAACGCACCAGTCTGTCCGCTCACATCATCTGCCAAATGTGGCTCTCCACACGCCATCTTTGCTGCGACGATATTTATTTCCATCATATTATAGTAAAAAACTGTTTGTACAGCAGTATAGTAAGACAGACGAGCCCGTCCTAAACTCATGCCCGCGACGGGCTGCAACCCGCGAATGCGTTGACGGCGGTGCGTTTACAGAGTACAACTTGTCCGCATCTCCGAACGGCTGTCTATCTCTTTCTCTCTCTTGAATGCCGGGTCTTAGAACTGGCGTGCAGGGCGTTTGGCTTGTGTCCACGGTACTACTGTAACAACAGTGTAAAGAGCGGCTTGTTGTCGAAGAGTGTCGTCGTCCTTGTGTGCATGCATTGCCTGCTGCAACTGCTGTGCTTATCTGTGCCCATGTGCATACCGTATATGACACAAGACAACACACCCCCTAGGCCGATTTTCAAAGCTCGACTACTCCACGACGACGAGGATAAGCTAACGAAACGATACATTTTCGGAAAACTCTCGACGAGACCGTTCTAACGCCGCCTTTTTTGGGCGCTGTGACTCTTCCTGCTGTTGAGAAATCGAGCTGTAAATCTCGGTCAAGGGGGTGTGATCTTGTGTCATACGGTAGGCACATCAACGCATACAGTGTATAACAGGAGGCACGACAGTTCCCATGCATGCTGGTGGCGTCAGTAGCGAAGGCGTGTGGTCATCACACGGCCCCTCACCCCCTCCCACCCATGTGTACACGCGAGGACCGCTCGATCGGGCTCGGTTTATCCCCAATCCTTCAACACGATTTTGCTTCCATCCCAGCTTCATCCGTACCATGTTCAACCGCGTACCGTACAACTGGTTGCATAAGATATCACACCCCCTCGACCGATTTTCGAAGCTCAATATCTCGGCAGGAAAAACAGCCGTGACAGTGCCGAAAATGGCGGCGTTGGAACCGTGTCGTCTACGGCTTTCCGAAAACGTATGCCACTCCAATTTCGTCATCCTCTTCGCCGTGGCGTAGTCGAGCTTTGAAAATCGGTCCCAAGGGGCTGTGGTATCTTACGCAACCTACGGAATATAGTTCTCCGTAGCCGGCGGCTGTCCCAGCTTGCACCATTGTGTCTTCGTTTCAGCACCCGCTACCATGTAGGTACGGTAACACTTGGAACCATTCCCGCATGGCTTAGAATAACAGGTACCCTTCTTGGTTGTGTGCTCGGCGCCCTCGTGCTTCACGCAGACACTTCGAGCCTCTAATCGCTGACACCGAATCGGAGACAGGGGGCCCGCGGAACGATGACAAGAACGGTGGCGGTGGGGGGGGGCAGGAGGAGGAGGACAAGCTCGCGATCTGGTGGCAGTACATCCAGGCTGTTCAGGATAAGCTCCCCTCGGATCAGCAGGTATTCTTTTTTTGTGGCTGTTGTTGTTGCTGCTGCGATTGTGGTGGTGGCAGTTGTTCCGCTGGTGGTTTTTATCATCGTCGTTGCTGCTGTTGTTGTTGTTGTTGTTGTTGCCATTGTGCTGCTACTGCTGGTGCTAGTGGTGGTAGTAGTTGTCGCTGCTGCTGCTGCTGCTGCTCCTGCTGCTGCTGCTGCTGCTGCTGCTGCTGCTGCTGTCATCGTTGTTGCAATGTTCGAAGTGATAGTCTTTCCGTCCTGCATTCAGACTCAAATCGGGCGAGATGACCGATTGTCCACACTGCAAGCAGCCTTTTCCCTATTGCATCTTGCATCTCGGAAAATATGGAATATATAGCGCGGCTGTTAAGTAAGATCATGACGGGTCTGGGCCATGCCATCCTATGTCAGTCCAAAAAGAAGTGCTTCACCCAATGATGACGTTTTTTTCGTTTGAACCAGAAAAATACCGATGTTTCATTCTCACCCCGCACAGCGATATTCCGCACTTCATGATGCAATCTTCAACCCATGCTTCTGCCATTGGAGGTATCGGAGTCTGTGGTTCGGTGGCCAGGAAGCCGAGGCTATCAGCGGTATTCGATAATCCTCCGCGTCCGCACTCTCCGTTAAATCTCCGCCAGAGGGTTTGTCTTGCCATGTGTGTTGTTACATGACGGTTTCTTCTCCGTCTTTCGATGGTCCCACCCCTCGCCAGCGCTCGACCCCCCTCCCCCGTCATACCTACAGCGAGTGGCCAGCGGTACATGTACTCTATGTAAGTACAGCAGTAGAGGTCCCTATTTAGTGCCGGTACGTACCCAGAATTTTTTCCGGCACTATACTGGACCGGCATTATTCAAAGTGTTAGTATTGGGAATGAGTTTGGAAATTCATGATGTACCCGCCGAAAACTCCGGCGCTATTCCGGGCACCGGCACTATTCTGGAACCTCGACCGTACATTCTCTTCATGGCTGACGGTGACACATCCGTCTTTTTACATTTTCAATAACTGACGGTTGTGATACCTTCGCCTTTCGTGTGCTTGGACGCATGCATCTCAGGAGCAATTCGACCTGCTGGAGCGGTGCTCCAGGAAGTTCAAGGATGACCCGCGGTACAAGGACGACATCCGCTATCTGCGGGTGTGGACTGCCTACGTGAGTGGGAGTTCCGTCTTCACCGTGGGTCTGGTGACCGTTCCGTGTAGTGCTGGTTCCGAAACCCGCGATGATACAGCAGTGACGGCTTTGGGGGCGTGGACGGCCTTCATGAGTTGGAGTGCCGTATCCTCATGGTCTTGTGTATATTCCGTGTACTGCTGCTGTTACCCATAACCACGATGATAGGAGGACGGCATCCGGTATATTGCGTGCGCAACAGCCTTGGCATGTTGGAGTTTCCGTATCCCGTGGTCCATGCTATTGTGCCCATTCCATGTATTGTTACTGATGCCCGTGTGGACGGCATCCGCCACATGTGAATACGAGTGGTCGACTGCCTACGTGCGTTCGAGTTCCGTTTTAATTCAGTGGTCCAGGGTCTTGTGCACTTTGAAGTTGTGCGGCGCGTGGGTGTGTCTCTATCGGCTACAACTTCCCGTCCCATCCCATCCCATCCCGGGATCATTTTCGGTTCCATGCTCTTTTTTTTTTTTCCAGGACACCTGTCCAACGCAGCATATCTCTTCGTGTTACTCTACAAGAAGCGTCCCGTGCCATTCCATCTTATCCCGCAACCATTTTTCCGTTCCATTTTGTTTCATTTCTAGGCGACACACCTCTCGAACTCTGAAGATATCTTCAAGTTCCTGCACTACAACCATTCCATCCCATCCCATCTCATCCCGCGACCATTTTCCGGCCCATTTTTGTTCCACTTGCAGACGACACACCTCTCGAACGCGTAAGATGTCTTTTGTTAATTCTGCAAGAACCGTCCCGTCCCGTCCTATCCCACCCTCTCTCATCCCTTGATACTTTTGCCGTTCCGTTTTCATGGTTATTTCCAGGCGACACACCTGTCGAACGCGGAAGATCTCTTCAAGTTCCTGTACAAGAAGGGGATCGGTGGCAAGCACGCACATTTCTGGGTGGGCTGGGCACTGTACGCAGAAAATGCGGGGAACTACCCCATGGCTGAGAAGTGAGTTTGGAACGCGTCTTGTCCCGCAGAGCCCCGACGAACGCTAAAAGTGCTCGTTTGTACTGTATCCTCCTCGACTCAGAGAGAAAACAAGTTTGTGGGGATTTCAGTGGTGATCCTGATTCATTACGAAATTTACCGCGAAGTGAAGTATTTTCCTGGGTGACTTTGGCCCTGTGCGCGGAAAACGCGGGGAATTATCCCATGGCTGAGAAGTGAGTTTGGGATGCGTCGTGTCCCGCAGAGACCCGACGAAAGCTACAAATGCTCGTTGGTATCCTGCTCAGCCGACTAAATAAGCTTGTGGGGATTTCAGGAGTCGTTCTGGTTCCTAACGAAATTTTCCGTGAAGTAAAGTTTTGTTCCGGGTGGGCTGGACCCGTACGCGGAAAATGGGGGAAAACATCCCATGGCCGAGAAGGGAGTGTTGCGGAAGCCCGCCTCGTACTTCTTTACATGCGGAAAAGACACTACGGTGGTGGTGGTCCAGGAATGCTGCCGGTAGAGCCGCGTGGTGCAGGAGGAATATTCAAGTTGTTTCATACTCTGAACAATGCCGGTTGTCCCCCGCTTCAGTGCCGGTGATATCGGCCGGATCGCACCGGCATGTATGTCGGGACCACTCCTGTCCTCTGCATCCCAACAAAAATATCAGGATGGAAATAACAAACCCATGGTCCCGGCGCCCCAGCTTTAGCAACTACTAGAGTGATATAAGTAGGTTTTACCGTAGAATTCCTACGCGGAGCACCTCCTGTTCTTGTGGTGGCATTATATGTCGGGACCACTCCTGTCCTCTGCATCCCAACAAAAATATCAGGATGGAAATAACAAACCCATGGTCCCGGCGCCCCAGCTTTAGCAACTACTAGAGTGATAAAAGTAGGTTTTACTGTAGAATTCCTACGCGGAGCCCCTCCTGTTCTTGTGGTTAAGTTCCAAAGCTTTTCCGCCCGATGATAGTGAAATGTCAACTCTCAGGTTCTTACCCTCAAATTGTTGTAAGTGGTGGACATTACCATGCCCCCTCCCCCGCCCCCCTCGACACCTATGTCCCGGTGTCCCCACTCAATATTCTCCTTCGCGCTTCCCTTGTGGTGCTGGTCCGCAGGCTGTACGTTAAGGGCATCGAGCACCGTAGGGCAGAGCCGTTGGACGTGCTCAAGAAGAGACAGGCTCACTTCATGCGCCGCATGCGTCGGCACTGGATTAACAGTCAGATCGAGGTTCGTACGGCTGTCTCTCATCTTTTCGTGCTCTTTTTGAATCATCGTTGCCGTTGTTGTTGTTTTTGTTGTTGTTGCTGCTGCTGTTGTTGTTGTTGTTGTTGTTGTTGTTGACGTGATTGCTGTTGGCGAAATAATCTCATTGTCTTGTGGGTGCGGTTGCCATTAAGGTTGGATTCACCTTGTTAAGGTCTGCGGCATGTATTCTTACGTCGTCATCATTGTTGTGCTTACTGCTGCTGTTGTTTTTGTTGTATTAACATGATTGAGGTCTGTAGATATGTACATGTCTCGCGTTTTTTCTTTCATCCACACTTTGGTCCTCGACGCGAGCTCTCGGTTTTTCCTTTTTTTTCTTGGGGATGGCATGCGTACACGAGTACAGGAAGCAATTGAAACGGCTCGCCTGACGTTTCTGCGTTTCTTTGAAGCCCTCCATCCACTCTTGTTTTTCTCTCCCCTCCCCTTTGTCTTGTTCCTTCGTTGACTGGGGGTGGAAATACCAAATTTGATGAGATGAAACCATTAGGAAAGCACAATGGTAGGGTTTCGTGTCCTTCCCCTGTTTGTTTTTTTTTCACTCGTACTCTTGTTTTTTCTCCCCCTTCTCTTGTTTGTTTTTCTTTGTTGATTGGAGGTGGAAATACCAACTTTGATGAAATGAAATCATTAGGAAAGCACAATGGTAGGATTTCGTGTCCTTCCCCTGTTTTTTTTTTTTTTCACTCGTACTCTTGTTTATTTCTCCCCCTTCTCTTGCTTTTTTTTCTTTGTTGATTGGAGATGGAACGCCAACTTTTTCATCAAAATAGCAAGCACCGTCAGTAGGGCACAGCGGAAAATTTCGTTGTTTTCGCCTTTTTTTTTTTTTTTCCACCCCCCACTCTTGTTTTTTCCACCCCCCGCTTTTTTTTTGTTTTTGCTTTTTTCTTAGTTGATTCGGGGTGGAATGCCAAATTTCATCTGTTAAAATCACTGGGAGGGCACGGCGGAAGATTTTGTCTTGTATGGCTTTTTTTCTTTCAATCCCACTCGTGTTTTGTCCCCCGGCTCTTTATTTTTTGTTTTGTTTCATGTTTAATCGGGGTGGAATGCCAAATTTCGTTTAATGAATCGTTAGGAGGGCACAGCGGAGGACCAAGCGAGGGAGCTTCCGGGGGACGAGGAGGCTCGCAGGGGTATCCTACGTTCCCTCTCGGTTACGGCTATAGAGCGCAACCGGCGCGAACAGGTGTGTATTATGTCGTATGTTTTTTTGTATGTAGCATCGACCGCGCTAACCGGCCGACCATCGACAAGGCGTCAGTGTCATGCTGACCATTGTCAAGACGCCACTCTCGGTGTGTGTTCCTTTTGTTTGCATCGACCACGCTACCTAACGGCTGGCCAATGAGAGAGGGCACCATCCCCAGGGCGGTTGAAAACACACAATTCTTCTGAAGGCCATGCTCTCTGTTATTTGCACCGACCGCGCTAACCGGCCGACATATATGAAACGACGCCAATCTCAGTGTGGTTGAAAACACGCAATTCTTCCAAAGGCCGTGATCTGTGTTGGTAGCTTCGACCGCGCTAATGGGCCGACCAATGAAAAGACTTCAGTCTCATCTCAGTGCGGTTGAAAACATTGGCCGCGATCTTGGCATCCTGTGAGGGAGTGTCAATGTGTTTGTGAGTAGTCGTCTGCAGTATTAACATCGACCGCGCCATTCCGCTGGCCAATGAAAAGACGCCCGTTTCAGTGTGGATTAAGTAAAACACACAATTGCTTCTGGAGGCCGTTTTCTGTGTTGGTGGCATCGACCGCACTAACCGGCTGGCCGATGAAAATACTTCTCGGTGCCGTTGTAAACGCGCATTGCTTCTAGCCGCCACGATCTGGGATCTTTTGAGGGAGCGTCAGTAAGAGTTTCTGAAGTAGCATCGACCGCGCCAATCGGCTGACCAATGGAAGGCGTCCGTCTCATGCTGGCGAATGGCAAGACGCGAGTGTCAAGTAGTGCGCGCGTGTCTTTGATATTCGCATCGACTATCCAATGAAATTTCGTGTGTGTTTTCGTCCTATTTATTTTGGCAACAGTCCCCCCACTTTCGTGGTGAGATGTGTACTACACGTGTTTCAGTAAAGGTAGAGTACTACACTTTTGAAGTATACTTTTTCGTACAACTACAACGATCCAGGGTCACAGACGGGGGGGGGGGGGG